GTTATACCCTATTCTATTATTTCGTTCTATACTCCGATTACTACTGCAAACAGTTTATTATCTAAGGATATTATAGCATGTAAGTAGACATTTAGTCAAAGAGTTGCCATATACAATTATATAATTAGTATGTTAAAAAAAGAAAAGAAAACACTTATATTGAATATATAAAAATAACTAAAAGTAGTAATTACAACAGTTAATAATTATAAAGCTCAAAATAAGGCAAACATCTTCTCCCGAGGGGGTTATAGGAGTCGTCTTCATGTTTTCTTGAAATATTCTCGACATTATAATGTTCTTATTATGATTACGTCAAAATTACGCCCGCCGTTATCCGCAGTGTCGCGTTCACATGAAGAATATTTTCGGCCGCCGCGCTGTACTCCGCTTGCAGCGTAATCACCGATGCCCCCACGCGATAACCGTCCCTATCGCCTACAGGTTAAGTCGAAACTCGCACGTGCACATCGTCAACAGTATTTACACAGTAACGTTCCCACCTCAAAGCCAAATTGAAATATACCGACGACCATATTCATTACAACGGGTCGCGTGGAGACCATAACTCAACCTTACGGCGCCTTTTACGAGTTTTAAGAGCTGCACTCAACGGAGACCGGGCCCTAATGCCCGCCTGTTTACGAGACACGTTCGGGACGTGTTGAAACGCGCACGAGGCAATTTCGGCCTCCGTGAACGCGCGAGTACAATTTAAACGCGCGTAATGAGCGTATTGCGGTAATTTTTAATTTTGCCTGAATGCGGACCTAAGACAAGTTTTGAGATAAAGGCTGACGCCGTAAAGTTGAAATACAAATCAAAGCCAAGCACAGAATGGATTCATTCGGCACATGCCCTTTGTAGTAATTATGGGGAGCGCAGTCTGCCAGTGCTACAGCTTGGTACACACGAACATTTATTGTAATTCTTTTCCACTTGCATTCAATTCAATACCCTCGAAGACCAGGAGACTGTGAAAATTGAACAATGAAAAAGTGCAAGTCGGTCTCGCGCACGACGGGTTCCGTACCAACAGCAAAATCATATCTGTTGTACGGGAGCTCCGCTTAAATATTTTTTATTATTTTTTTTATGCGAAAAGTTGTCAAACGAGCAGACGGTTCATCTGATGAGTGAATACCGCCGCCCATGGACATCTGACACTGCCGCCGCACATCGGACACCCGAGGATTACAGAGGCGTTGACAACCTTTTGAAAATTTTTAATTTTAATTCTGTTTGTATTTGTAGTACTTGTTTTGTAGTGGCAAGTGTAATACATTATCTGTAAAAATCTCAACTGTTTAAATATCACGGTTCATGAGATACAAAACTCCTTAAAAACCTTTGACAAGAAAAATACATATATGTCAATTTAATTTTTGTGATGTAATGAATTCTTATGGAATTCTTACCATAAGAATTCATTAAAATTCATTAAAAAGTCAGAACGTAATTTTTACGTATTAAGTTGTATTTTCTTATTTTTTAAATTGAAAATATTTTGACTCGTTACTTTCGACATTGTACATATTCCTTATCATATGCAAAATCTAGATAAAGCCATTTAATTACTTTTAAATGCCTTTATACAGAATTCATTAGTATAATATTCAATTTTTTTTAATCTGTCCCTACTCCATTATATTTTTGAGGCTATTGTAGAAGGCGAATAAATTGCCACGCCATTTGGCCAATTTTTATTGCGATTTCATGTAACGTCAATGAACACAAAGTAAGTAATATTGATGAATCGGCAATGCAATCTGCCGAGCTCTTTCAACCGAATGTCTGGAAGATGCAAACAATGCCTTAAAGTGATTTTATAGGATTCATCGAGACACACGCGCTTGTAACGTGTGCTTGGTGAAAGTCAGGCGAGTTTACGTCCGGGCGATGTGCACACGAAAATGGACCTTATTGGGTCGGCATACCGCAAGTCGAGCGGTCAAGGTAATTTGGTCGCAAAAAACATGATAAATGGCTCAATGGATCGTCTATTATACTCTAATGTCCCAATATATTATCTGTCTTAAAAGGCCAAGACCTGCGTGATAAATTGGCACGCCGTTGGTATCTTTTTGTCGTTTGGCACATGTTGAATGGCACAAAAAAGGCCAGGTGACACTTTTTTTTATCTTTAAACGCCCGTAGATTTATAATTGTCATTTGACGCAGCATTTTGTCCGTGTTAATTGTGTTAATTTTTGATGGTTGCCATTATTATAAACTCTCTTGATAGCGCTATAAGGTGACACGTTTTTTTATATAGATCTACATTTTTTATATTTTAATTAAAAAATCGCTAATGGCAGACTCTAGGCCTGTGTTAAAGGTTTGTGGAAGGTGTGTCGTCCACGTGCGATAGATTTTTCTTATTTACTGCCTATTTCTAAGACTTGCATAGTTGCAAATCAATATCTTCTGTCTCTGCCTACTCCGTTAGAATACAATAGACAGAAAACAGAAAAAAATACGTGAAAGTTTGTACTTTTAACTGTTTCACTGTATACAAAACATATGAGATTTTTTGTGGACACAAAATTAAGTTAAAATAGATATTAAATTTGGCCTCCGTAGTTTTGCCACATAACCTTCTAACTCCGGTTTCTTCAAAGCCATAGAAGGGCATAGTTTTTACAAACTTTATAATTTTAGATTCTTCTTCATATATCTTACACTAACTAAAAGATATCCGGAAACTAATAAACGGCATTAAAATAATTGAATACAACAGATATGAATGTTGCAAAATCAAAAATTCCAAACAAAGACAGCAGCTACGCGCGTAGGCCGTAGCCGCGTAGCGCACTAAAATATGGCGCATGTATTATTCAAAGAAATTGCCACATATTTCATCCCAGCGAAATAACTTAGAGATATGGGCTACGCGGTACACGGATAGAGCGCGCTAGATGATTTTAATTTTGTATAAAAATATGACTTAATTTAGTCATATGAATCGTAAATGATATTGCCATTTATTAACTTTGCTAAAAACTTTATCCTAATTATGTAATGAATAAATTATAAAAAGAACATATAATTCTTATTGTCAAATATATTTAATAGTAATTCCAATTAAGCAAAACGTAAAAATTAATTTAAACGATAAACTTACAATAATAAGTTTCTTATACAGCACGTATGTATTTACTATTCGAGAATAATGTGCACGCCTGTTATTGGTGTGTACTTCTAACCTTTTATAACACCTTGAACATGTTTTAGTGTACCTTTATAAATAAACTAAAACTTGACTTCAAACCTGAGGCGAGTTAATGATAGTAAATTCATCCTGGGCGAACCGCGTCGCCCTAAAGCGTCGCGGCTTGCGAACTAGCTTCACCTTATCTGTCCGAAGTGATTCCGGCCGCCAGTGAGCCGCGATATTTATGCGATGCGCGGGAATTTACGGCCCCAACGGAACCCGCGTCGCGTCCCACTAAAAAACCGGCCAAGCCGGACTCGCACAAGAAGGGTTCCGTACCATTATCTATGAAAACGGCAAGAAAGACATGTCTGTTGTATGGGAGCCCCACTTCAATATTCTTAGTATTTGTTTTAATAGCGGCAAAAGAAATACATCATCTCTGTAAATTTAAACTGCCTTCATATCACGGTTCATGAGATACAGCTTGGTGAGATACGGACAGACAGACAGACAGCGAAATTTGGGTACGGAACCCGAAAACTAACTCTTGGAGTAAATTGTACGACGACATCTCCCGCCTCTGTTGTCGGTCAAGCCTAACTAGTATGGTTCCTTCCTTCGTATGCACACATAGATAGTCAGTTTAGTATGGTTTTTTTTGAAGGCTTAGATGAACGAGTTAGCGACATATCCGACGATAAATGATTATATCTCTAATGCATCCGCAATACCTGTGTTTGTATATATCAGTGATTATAACAAAATTTTTGAAGTATGAATAGTCTACGTCAGCTGATGCTGCACCACCTATGTGATGTTTGCAGCATCATCTACTGTGGTAGGACCACGCAACACACTGTTGCACGAAAGGGCAGATCTCAACGGCAATGGCAACGCAACTGCAACCCTACGGGTGTTGCAAATTTCCATGGGCGGGGGTTATTACTTAGCATCATCTGAACCGCCAGTATGTCACCTTCTGAGATAACAAAGCTATGTAATATTTAATACGTGGATCGAATAGTATCAGTATTTATGCGGTACGGAATAAAAACATGCAAGCTGCAACACTAAAAGAAAATCTCATGACTTGTAAATGACAGCATACATTTACTTATAATTACTTTCCGCTTCATTTGTGAAACAGTTTTTAGCAAGAGCTCTTGATTCATAATAAAGGTCCATATAGCTTGACTGATATGCTAAATTCTTGGAATCTATTTACATACGTATCTAAGTTCAAATCCACATATCATTGCTTTGCTTTTAGTTTTTTTATGGGTTATTAAAGGAAAATGTATTAGTTATCACAAAAAAGTAAATTATCCTATTTACGATTCAAACACTACAAATAAAAGTGCAATATACTTATTTTATTCAAATAAATTGGAAACGGAACAAAAGATTTTCAACAAAAATTTAACATATTGTTAGAGGAAAGTCACCCAATATGGAATACCATTTTGTTTCAGGGATATAAAAAAAAAACTTCATAGAAACTAAAACAGTTTAATGTAATTACTAATCAGTCAGACATTTATATTTAGTAATTAACAGCCTTTAATCAAATATATTAGTTACCAAATTAAAATCTAACACAAAATCAAAATCACAAATGAGTAACCAAATATGGAATAGGTACCCATATATGGAATATAAGCATAAATCATCATATCAATAACAAAAATAGACATAAACATCTATGAGATCAAATAAATTAAAATAACATATTGTTATAAACGAACGAAGTTACTAAATTCACTTGCAAAAGTCACAGATCCAAGTATCAAACTCTGGACCAGCACAATCATAATGTGCCCAGAGTCCACACATCAAGCATTTAATCCAGCTTTCTCCCACTTTTATCCATGGAGAAAAGGTTTGAACAGAACATACATTCTGCATCAGCAGAGTCAGGAGATACTTGGTCCATCAACTCATCATGTTCACTGTCTTCATCAAACTGGATGACGTCCCGTTCCTCAGAGTCTTCTTCTTCACGATCATTTCTATTTTTCTTCGTTTGTTTGTTTCTCTTCGCAGTTTTCTTCTTATTCTTTGTCTTGCTTTCTTTTTCTTGTCTCTTCATATTTTTATTTACTAAATAATTTTTGTAGGGTGAAGATGTTATGACTGTTGCTATAGCAGCTTTTCTTTCAAAATGCTGTGCTGCTTTCAAATATCCCATTTTATTTCCCCGGACGAATTTTATAGCTTCTGCCATTTTTTCTTCATCCCAGGTTTTTCGTTTCTTTGTTGATTGTGAAGCAGACATTCTAAAAACAAACATAACATAATTTTTTTAAAGAAATTGTAGCAAGTACCTAACATGTGAAATATAAAGACCTAATTATGGAATATTCCATAATTAGACACCGACGACTGTCCATATTTGGATTTTCATACTTGTTTAAAATCATCTAAATATTTTTTCAAATCACAATATTTTAATGACAGAATATCACAAAACGTTGAAATAAACATAATATCGATATACTAAATAGTAAAACATCTATGTATACATACGTAATAACTGGTAATACTCAATTATTACTTACCTTTAAAATTTTCTGCGTGACAACAAAACAAAAAACACCGGCCACACCTGTAGCGTTCGCGCAATTGACACGATGGTCTGTGTGAGGTAGTAAATAGACCGAATGAAACAGAAGATGGTCATGTGTTTCGTTTCATACTTATATTCTTAGAGAAATTGCTTTATTCCATATTAGGATACTATTCCATATTTGGTGACTTTCCTCTATTAAACACAAAAATCGGTTTAAGATGTGTATAAACGAAGCCGGGAATACAACAGGAAAAGCATAATAATTCGTAAATTTATCGCAAATTAACAAATAAATAGTAGATTACACCTGACAGTTTCTGACGGTGAAAATAATCTATGGTTTCGAACACCACATTCATTTTATATTTAGAGTAATTTTAGTGTAAACATTTAGGCAGGAGCTGATTGGGATAGTGCGTATGTACGTAATGAAAAACAATGTAATGAAAAATGAATGTAATGAAATGTAATGAAAAACAATTGTATTACGAAACATACGCACGCCTCGTTTGAACTTTTGAGAAATGGGTTATGACATCCTTCATAAATAATCTTGGCCCCTACACCTTCCGCAAAAAATACATTTCCCCGCGACGTGTAATATTTTAAACCATCCCCTTACTTTATACAAAATGGCTGTCGGCACTCGCTACTATTTTTCCTCTGATGTTTGGTACAAATTTATTAAGAAATCGTTTTGAAAAGAAAATATTTTAAGTTTTAAATAAAATCTAAACGATTTTTTTCCCTAACAACTAAAAATGAATTGAATGTTGTATCTTAACGAAGTCTAGAAGTAAAGTTCTTAACATTCTAAATTATTATAACCTTTTCATAATAAATTGGTGATAGTAAAGAGAAAAAAATTTTTTTCAATCCACTTCAAAAAATCCATAGTTCTTAATTAAAATCTTAGTTAAATTGAAGAACTACTTAAATACAGATGAGCTTTAGTTACGGTGAAAAACAACATATTTTAATGTTTGCTATACTATTTATGATTAATTAGAAATAATTGCGAAGCACTCGGTTCATTTCCTACTATTAAATTCTTACACTTTACCGCTTTCTCTTATGGTCTAGACAGTGGTGCGGTAATAAATTCCTGAGGAGTTCCTTACACTTGGCGAAGCAGACAAAATAATTTATGTACCTAGTTTACTGGGTACTTTCGCGAATAAATGACTGTTCTGAGGTGAGTGACATCTTTGTTACACGAAAGTTGAAATGTGACTTTACAGTGAAAGGTTGGACGTGGTATTATTAATAATATACTTTATATAAATACTATTATAATATAGCAGTATTTTAATATTTTACAAACATTATATACCATTCTTAACTTTTAATAAGTGTTACAATACGCTATGCTTAATATACGAGCAATAACAATTATACTTAATAAACATCCATATCTGGTATAATATTATATAATAAACCATGCTTAATAATAATTTATAATTTAATAGGTCAATCTTATTAACTGTATTAGTTATAGTAATAAGTGCATTGAGTTGTTATGTAGTTGTGATGACTCATTATATTTTTGTACATAAGCGCATAATGTTTCAGTGATAGGGTAGAACACTCTTATCCTTTGTGTAGGACGTTACTCTGTCCTAATAAGTAGGAAGTAGTCTAATTAATATATAAAGTTGTTTACGCTATCCTCACTATTTTATTTTGGCCGACCAACGTACAGTCTTTAATATAAGTCAATAAATCATTATTATACATTTTAATAGGGATTGAAACAATTGTGAAATGTTCACAAATATGTTTAGAGTACTCGAAAACTACGTCCAACATTTTAATTGTCGCATCAATTTATAAAAATTATAGAATACAATAGTACTTGTATGTTATTGTAATTAATTTTTATTGATATTTTGGTAAATATTTTATCAATAATTGAACGCGATACGAACTGATAGTTTTACGAAGATGATCGTATTAGGACTGGGAAGTAGCATATACCAGAACGATTAACGTAAAAGTGGCGAACGACGCGCTCACCGTTTCGACACTTCAGCGTCGAGCTGTGTAGCAGAGAGCACGTTGAAAGCGCATAAAGCTTGGAAGAGGACAGCCTCATTAGCTGGACGCTGCCATAGATGCTATCGCAGACGCAGTGCGGGAACAAATGCTCCTGCTAATGGCCGTGTGGTGGGACGTTTGTTTTATATCTGTTTTAAGCTCTCAGCGGTCGGTTTGCACGATTTCCCGCCGCCGCTGTTAGCTTTTATGGCGACACGCTACAGTGTAAGACCGCTCCAAATTGGCCGATAAGCTCTCTCGATCGCTTCGTTCGTGTCTTGGAAATGTTTGGCTGATTAGACGCGAATGACGTTTATTCAAGTGTAACTGAAATGGATAGTATAATTATAATTTAATACAATTATCAATCGTTTAATTTTCTTTGTCAAATTTTAAATATTTTCTCCAAGGTTTATCTTTCTTTGAGTCCAATAAAACCTTGATGGACTCAATGAAATCCATAATAAATCTCACCACGTATGCTCGCCGACTTTACATATAGTATCTTAAACTCAAAATAAGCTTGAATTGGCTTACTAAAACATTCTTCGCGGGCATGCAAGCGATGCCATGATCAGTTCCATTGAAAATTAATGCCGCTCGCAGCGTTCGATATAAATGACGTCTCTTAGCTGTAACGCCTTTAGGCTGTAAAGGGAATAACAATGCCGCTTATCACCGCCCGTAAATTAGCAAAGGCACGGTGAGTGAACAGAACTTCATTGCATCATTGTGGAATTAATGAACTGTAGCGACGCCCACGATCGCGCCGATATCGGTGGGTATCTAGCAATAAACATTGGACCACAGAGTAGACAACGAACTAGATACGTCACAGTGCTAGATACCATTCGTGGTTCGAAGTAAACGTGAATGTTAGTTGCATTATAACGCCTAATCGGCACTTTAAGCTTTCGTGTTTTCAACGTTACTGAATTAGACTGAAATGGTATCATTATTTCACAGTGTTTGTCATATCTAGCTACAAATGCCAGGCAATGACTTTTATGTGCAGTATCAATTATACTGCACTTTATCAACTATAACAACTAAATATACTAATTAGGAACTACTCAAGCACATTTCGTTCAAATAAACTAGTAATCATTGTGATTTATTTTCAGTTAATGATTATATAGGCTTCCTAGAAAATGAAAATCGGTTTCTATACCTATGATACATAGGCTCACAAAAATCAAATTAATGTCTAAACGTTAACTATAAAGTCGCGGTCGCTAAACACTTAGCATATCCATAAATATAAGGTCACGTCTACGCTAAAGTGCGAATACACCAGCTTACGATCATGTTGTACACCTTTCAACCAGCCCTACGCTGTTATTAACCGATTAAAGATAAAGCTTCGTGTAATAAACAAGTGAACGCGGGGAATTAAAACGCATTTGTTTCACATCTTAACCGGTTGCATTAAAGTAATGACAGTTATCAATAAATTATTAAGGTGGTACTAATAAATAATGATATCTACAAACTAAATATTTTCTAACTGCCTGCCACTAAATAATTAAGTACTATTTGCTGGTGACTGTTGTTAGTTCCAGTTTAGATTCTCAATTAAAGGGTACCTTAAACTTTTGCTAAATTCAATTGATTTAGGTACATAAAGAGACATCTATAGGCTAATGTAATAAATAAAGCACAACGTGACTCTACTAGACCTACAATCCTCTATAACCATCATCATTCTACGGCTTTTATTCACTTACATGGGATTTAATTCTAACAGGCCGTAATTACGTGGAAGAGCCTTTTTTTTTTGGTATCGGGGGGGAAATCTCCTAAAGATACCCTGTCAACTTACATGACAGGGTTATGTGGGGTTCTTACACACTAAAACCCCCTCGGTGGCCGCCTTCCGTACATTTGGAGGGACTCCGGGATCCCCCACGGAATGCACCGGTGTCCCTCGGTACTACGCCTGAGCACGCCTCGCAGAAGGTTAAACCTTCTCCGATTCCCTCTCCCTCTTGCAGCAGCACGAGACCACTTCGTGCTGCTGCCTATCCTTGTCCCCTTTTAGTCGCCTTTTACGACAGGCAGGCATACCTTAGCCCTATTCTATGAGCCCGGGACTACAGGGCTAGGAAGAGCCTACCGAAATATACTGTGTCTACCACAGTTTTCCATGCAGGAATCGAACACCCTCAACTATAGAAGCCAAGCAGCACCGTCAGGTCACCCATCCAATCCTCTGAACACATTAACTTAAAGTAAATAAAAACTATTATAAAGAACCATAATTCAATCGCGTTTCAAGACCTGCTAAAATTAAACCCAACAGCTTAGGCAACATTTAACCTCGCCGCGTGTCAGTTTGCCTTTGGAAGTTACAAACCTCCTTCGGGCGAGGGACGAGGCAGGGGACGGTCAGTGTCCATTTAGCGGGCCCGGGGGCAGGGGGGGCGGTCTTTGATTCATTAGCCGTCATCAAATATTCACCAACACACCGCATCCTCGTCCCACTCTCCAGCGGCGCAATTACTAACGTCGTCTCGACACGGCCTCGGAGTTACGAGCGCTCTAGATTTATTGTTATTACCGCACATTTCCTCCGGGTAACGTTTTAATTACACAGATCGACGATAAAGCATCCTGGGGGCGCACTTGTCTTCATTAAAAGACGAATCGCCTGCATCTACGGTCCACGGAGATTTATGCCCTCAACGCTCCTAATGGCCCCACTATTGTTCGACCAGTGCCACTCCAAAAGCATTAAAAACACATGTGAACGCTTACCAGTACACGGAACAAAGTGTCAAGTGTTAAGTGTCCTTAAAGCTAAAATTTGTAGAATTTTATTGAACTACTTCTTTGCAACGATCACTATCAGGTATGATGATAGTCAAGTAATAGTCAAGTCTTGATAAAAATATGGCAGTGTCGAATTAACTTGCACAACGGATGACTATTTATTTATTTAAAAATTTATTGTTTACACCCCAACATAAGGCCAAATGAAAGTCAAACTTGATGCTAATAAGCATTCTCTTCCAGTCAACCCTGGGAGTAGTGAAAATTTTAAAAAAGAAAACCACAAAAAAAGGTACATATTATTCAAATATACTAAATGCAAAAATGAATACTGTTAACTATTAAATACATATTTATTCCAAAACCTACATCTCAAAAACAAGTATTTCAAAAATATATCCGAGAAGACATTAGACAGGAAAACAGTGTATATGCGATCATGTTTCGGAAATCTTCAACGGATAACATAAATCACGCCCGTTTCATAAGCCGAGGGTTCCCACAGCGACCGGACCTGACGCCACTCATTCGAAGGAAATGTCCACTCGTGACACATTCCCGTCCGAGCGAGTTATATTACAGTCGACCTTTTTGCGAAACGGCAGTGGATAAAGGCCCCCATCCAAATCGCATTGGGAACTGTGAAAGCGTTCGACGCGTAAAGTCCACTTATCATTTGGCGCTTCTACGTACCAGCCCTGTAAGCGATATTCAACCTTAACGATAGAAAAATTCAAATATACTAAACTATAAAACGTTTTACTAATATCGATTCTCTTTGCCATAATCTTTGTACTTCACACCAATGGCAGTACTCATTTAAAATTCTCATATGAATCATATCATCCCTTTTCGTTATGTATATAAGACTAAAAATCTCACAACAATAAAGCCATCATTGAAACCTTTCGAATCACGTATAACCATTTAACGCGTTACTAAATTATTAACAGACGCTCGATCAAGTGTCAATATTAGCATACGCGTTCCCTCTTCAATGGGCATGAAATATTCAAGAGCGTCCGCCATAAGGGCGAGATTGCCTTGTCAGTTGTCTGAACTTACGGCGCGCCGCCTGACACGGGGTCGTCCGCAGACCATTTGTCACGGGTGCCATTTGTACTTGTCGAATCACGGCCATTAGATACGAGTGGGGGTTACTCGACGTTTCTACTTAAATGCCCCGTGCTGTAGCGACACAGACTGGCGGACAACCCTACGCGACCAGTCACTACGGACCGGTCACATGAAGAAAAGGTTGGACGGATTTTAGTCTTGTACTGTTCGGAGGACCGTCACCTAATCGAGACAAGCTATTCGGAGACGCCGTAGTTGTCGATAGTGACTTATACGAGCCGTCAGTCCTGTCGATTTATCTTACTTTGCGACCGCAGTTACGTACGTGGTCGCGGCTGATTTATAAGTGGTTCGCTTAATTACAGGCCATGTCGGCTCTCCGTCAATTTGTCTCCGTCCCTCTTTATCTATGCGCTGACACTTACGTCGCTCGTACCGCGCGAGGCACTCGGGCGATCGCGCTTTAAAGTCACTTAAAAGCCGGGCTTACATTTAAAAGCGCACCAATAAATAAGTTCGCATAAAACGTAAACTTTATCTCCGCTCCCTTTGAAGTACGGCCCGAGAAAACAAACAGAGCAATAAAGAAGGCCTTTATCGGAGCCACGAGTCGACACGCGAGCTAATTTACAACACGGCCGCGAGTTTTATCTTCATTAACCCATCGATTCACAATTAAGACGCGGAATAAATCTCCGGTAATGCGCTCCCAGTCCGCGCCGGTAGATTCGACTTCAAACAGATGTTATGTATAAATAAAGCCGAACGGAGGCAGCCACTCGATATATTCCCGTCCGCGGCAAACTTAACAGATCTATCAGCGCTCAACAGTTCACGACAACGGATCGCGGCGCGCGCAGCGATTTTCAACCTTAGATCCAATTTCGGATTTGTAAATTTTTAATAACGACTCACTAAATTATCTGTCATCAAAGCCTATCCTATTGTCATATTTGCAATCCTCAATAGTGATTAAAGTGTAATATGACCCGCAGTTGCATGAGTCGTTTTAAACGGAACACGGTCGCAAACCTCATCTTATTTCCAGCGTAACGAGTCGATGCTCACATTCGATTATCTATCTGCGGTATCCGAGGCATTACATTTGATGTATCGACGGCGACTGCGCGGGATTGTCGGCCGTCGCTTGATTTACTGCGGCCATTTCTTGCCGGCACTCCATGCGGGATAGATCCCCATCTGTCGCGGGCCGCGTGACTGATAGCGGCAATCGGGGCGCTTCGAGGGTCCCTCTAATGAATTGTCCCAAATAATTGGGATAGTATTTTATATCGACATCATTTGTTCACCGATCGGTGCATTTGTTACGTGCCGTTGATTTGTGCCGCGTCTCCACTCTCGCTCTATGGGATTTATCTTACTAATGATATTAACGAGCCTTAAATTGTATTCCACCTGCGGGAGATAATGCGATAGCGGCCTATACTTTACGGGCACCATTTAAAGTGGATAGTTCGAGTCTATAATTTACACTGATTAAGAGCTGCACGCTATCGCAAATGGGTCATTTTGTTGCGACGTCGGCACTCGCGCCAAATCGTTGAATAAATTCGAATAGATTGAATCTATTACAAATTTATTGCGCGTAAGGTATTTTCAATATGGTATAATGCTAATTCAGATAAGAGGTAGGTAACGAAATAAAATTATATGAGTAATGAATGCTTTACCAATAATTTCATGCTCATATTAACCGTTGTGGGAATCGACACAAAGGATTAACAGCTAAGCAAATTTTGTTCTTATGTAGATACACTTAAGATTGAAATAACTTTACGAGTACCTTCCAATAGCATTTGTGACAATCTTTAGATCTGTCTTTAGCAGACTTAATGGCCACTATGCTTCTTGTCTGTCTTTTTGTGCGGTTCGATTCAGATCGAGTACCATCTGCGCTCAGAAGTCATGAGCACAGACAATGCTCTCATCACTTACAGCGCGTTCCTCATCTTTTCTTGGGAACCAGACCGCTCTGCACACCGTGGTGAACATTTGTTTCTTTTATTCAAATAAAAACTTATCGACTCTATTTTTATTATTTTGCAATTGATTTTTGTTTTCAATCTAATCAGTCTTAAAAATTTGAAAATCGAAAATATATACATGGGTTGGAAGCAATTGGTAACGTACACTTAAGTGAGTATTATGATAAAACTAATCATGTGATAAATCCATTTCTACAAAAGAGCCAATCATATTGTGTTTCCCTATAAGGGCTAAATTTGTTTTAACCGTTTTGTATTCAACATTCAAACTTTTCTTTCTTTTCCCTATCTCATATCTCTAATAACTACCGCATTATACGAGTGCTGCGCGACGGTGTGAAAACAGGCCGACATGCGTATCGATAAGTCCCGTCTGACTTTGATGTATGCTCGGCTCCGATCTTGATCGACGTTTGCACCCGTTCCAATAAGCATACGCCGTACGTCTGTCGGCGCGTCCGCCGCAAACTGCAACCGGTTCCTGTTTGCCGTGCAAGCGGAATATTGATTTCGATCCTGAACATCCGAAATTTAATTTCCGCGCGGAACTGCATGCCGTCGACTCGACGACGGATTCATCCTTTGGCCCGCGTGGTATGCTATTGCGGAAACGGATATTTAAATATCGTGACTTGAGGCTTTTAGCTGTCTGCCACTTCTGCAATATTAATTCTGCAATATTATTGCTTTATATAACAGGAACATTACAATTTGTGGAGTAGTATCATATTAGTAATTCACTACTAGAGTAGTAACATTTCTCAAATGTTGTAAGGAACATATATTTTTGCGGAGACGCTTGTATCTTCTGCTTGCAAATTTACCACTACGTCGTATCGCACTTAGATAAACTACAGGGTAACAGTTAGTTGCATAAGAACAGCTTCTTAGAACGTCCAGATTGGAGGCCCAAATATATAAATTCCTATAAAAATAATAGTATGAAAAAATATACTCATGACAATAATAAATAACTAATAATAACAATATAATAAAATAACCACTAAGCATTTTTTTTACTTTATCAGCCATTAGTGTCCCACTGTTGGGCAAAGGACTCCTTCCATTTCTTCCACTCCTTCCTGTCGTGGGCTTTACCGGACCAATCACTCACAAATGCGTCCAGTTCGTCGCGCCAACTCCGTCTGGGCCTGCTTAATATTAAGCATTAATAAACATTAATTATTATTAATTATAGGAAGCGAACACAATCGGTTCTTGCACTTTAAATAAAAAGGCTCACCGATTCGATGTCATTAGATTTGCTTTGGCCTGTTTTAAATTGTTCTTACAACACATATTGGAAGCCAAATTCTCGAGCTTATAGTTTTAAATATAATAACAAATACTAAACTCTGAAGACGAGGTGAAGTCTCATTTGATACCAATGAAAAGTATACGATTCAAATAGAAATGAACATTGCACTCTTCAATACACCGGGAACATTATCCAATGAAATGCACACGAGGCATGAGCATAATCAAGATGGTCGTGCTGCTTAATACGTTGTGATGTTTCATAGAATCTTGTTCCTCTTATTTGCCGACACGCTGCCGCTCGGAGCGTGATCTGTCACGTCAGCTGGCATTAAATCGGATTTACCAGCTAGGGTTGCCACTTACTCTTTTAAGTTGTCGATTCTAAATTTATTTTATAATGTAATTGCTATCAGATATTCTAATACGTAAAGCAACTACAATAATACTTTAATCCATAACATTCTAATGAAATGATTTTATTGTAACAGTTGTTAACTTATTCTGCTATAAAATTGAAAAAAATAGCAAATAAAAAGTTAATTTACTTGTAAAAATATTATAACATTAGAAGGATGATAAAGCAATATAGACGGACTTTCAGATTTTTTTAATCTGTTATTTTTAATAAGTCACCATTGTTATATACTGCATTCGCAATAAAACTGAAGACAAATTTGGTTACCAAACATACCTCTGAAATTTTATTAAAATTTAGAATTCCTGTGAATACGCCAAGAGAAACTGTTGAAATATTAATGCATTGACATTGCTCTTTTTACAGCTACTGATGTCTTATTTGGTTTTAACTTTTAAATGTAAGTGCACTATTGACATTTGAAAGACTTTCGAATAATATTTTTACCTCTATTTATAATTGTGATGATGATCTTTTACGACTTAAGATTAAGTCGCTCACTTTGTAGTAAGCTAACGAATGCGCACGCGATATGAATAAAATAAAACTCACAAATCAAAGCAATATTTTTATGACAACTTCCTCGCAATATTTAAATAAAACTAATTATGTGCTTAGGTAAGTTCCATGGTTTTCGAATGTTCAAACGTAATTTATTCGTTACTTTACTCATAACCTTGGCATCAATCAAAATGTTGTTGTTATAACCAAATAAAAATGTATTTCCTGCTTTATTACATTTCAACAGAACCAAATAGGATATCACGAATGATTGAGCATATTATACGGTACACGACATATTAAAATTAGTTATTCGTTGCTTTTAAGAAACATTTCTATACCTTTTCACGAGAAATTGGACTGCCCTAAGTTACTGCTGACAGTGCAATCGAATGATACCCTGATTTTCTGAGGGTAGAAACGATTAAATGCACCTGCATGAGAGAAGACTTAAGTCGGAAAAACCTATTATCTTCCGAAGCTGGCACCGTCCGGAACAAAAATCGATGTTCGGAATCGGCTTCGATCATTCAAACAATATCACGTCCAACGTGTTCTTGATGGACTTCAACATTCGTTGGTAAAATCAATTTGTATGCAAAACGCGATCACGAATATGAGAAGAAAAAATTACGATTGTGCGAAGGACACAATTAATCATGTTCTTTCAAATTACACATTGCCGACCCGCGTTCGGGATTGTTGCGTGAGTTCGATACATCATTGCCACGAACTGCTCCATCGATTAATCATGCTCGTTCCCCGTCGCCGAAATCAGATGCATGCACGTCAAAATAAACAGGCGCGCTCCCGTGCAAGGTTCCACAATAAAACAATCCGAGAGGCCTCAAATTTAGAGGCCGTAATTACGTAAACGGACACATTGATGCGTGTCTGAAAGGTAATCATAAGCTAAAATTTATCACGGAGTGAATCATTCATGCATTAAGACAGCTGACAGTGCGGCACATATATTATAATGATCGACAGCATGACGTTGCCTGTCACACAGGGATAATGTTGTTGCCACACTCGAAATCCCCACGCGTTTCAATATGAACGCTATCACCTTACCCCAAGGACGCGTTCAGGGGGAACCATTGCAGCCGCTAAACGACCTTCTCGAATCCCGTCGCAATAAATCAAGTGAAAAGAGCGAGTTCCATTTACGCTCGAGCGAGGCAAAAGCAACCTTCGCGCCGGCACATTTGGTACAGATTCCAGTGACGTCCGATCGGTTCCAAGAGTTATTCGAGTCGGTGCAAGTGACAAAGTTTCGAATGGGCCACGATACGAATGGCTTGTGTTTTATGGCTTTGTATTAAACTTTATTGTCGAGTGTCGGGCGCACTGTGATTTAGGACTTTGTGGCAGCTGCAGCCGCTGGTAGCGCGGTAGCGAGACGTGTCGCGGCGTGTCATCGGAACGCAATGAAGATTTATGAACAGACCTGCTCGGCGGTTCGGCACGACTCCTTCCCGTTGATAATTCTGTTCGCATGAATATTCAGTTACCGAGATGTAAAAGCCATTAATGCCGTGATTAGTCGCGGACGAGAAGGGACCGGTCCCTTAATTCGTTTTTTCTTAATTGCCCGAGGGGAGTTCATGTGAGGCGTTGTAGATTCACGTGTCCTACGTGGTAGGACACGTGAACCATGCAGCAGCCTGCGCTGTTGCGTGAACTGGGGCGCGACCTCACAGAAGACCGAAGTGAGGTGGAAGTTTTGAACTTCTGCGTTTCGTCTGGTGAGTGAGGTAGCCGGGGCCCATTTTATGGGGTGGTGGCAACGCATTTGTGACCCTACGGCTGTTGTAAATGTCCATGGGCGGCGTTTATCACTTAACATTAAGTGAACCTCCAGCTCCGTTGCCATCTGTGTGTGTGACATTGTGGCAACAAGCCAATCAGGTGCTTTTACTGTAACGCCCTAAGTATTGTGAGTATGGCTTAACGTATGCTTTTTAAACTGCCGTTTTTTATTAGTTTAACCCACATCTACGCCATTAGTGAGATTTATGTCTATACATATCAACTAGTCAGAGTTGGTATAGTTATAAGATTTGATAATGAAACGATTATTACAACGATCGTACACCAGTCATTTATTCAATAATGAGACATAATTATGTAGTAATATTTTCTGTATTATAAGTTAAATTTATCAAAAATTCGCTCTTATTGCTAAAGTAAATTGATCGTCTGTAAAATATTGATTGATGATGAGAAGAATCAAGAAGTTCGTTCGTTCCGTTCTTTTTCCCATCTTACTAGTATTTTTACCACTTTTAATAGATTATCATGTCTTTAAAAAAAGACAGTTTGTGTGCGGATTACTAATACGGTGTCATTTTCCAAAAAAAATGTTGGAATCTATTTTTTTTTTCAACGGATTAATAACAAGTCTTGTAGCGCAAAGTAGTCGCAGACCGCTGTGTTGTTTTGTCCAATTTCGTTGAAATCTTTTTAGTCGCTGTTTTTTATAGCTACAATAAGTCAGGAAGTGCGTTAGTGTCGTGCCTAACAGAGGTCTTTATGGTTGTTATTTCTGTGAAAGTCTTTTCCTTTTAAAGAATGAGTGAGTAGACTTTCGCTGGACTAGTGCGGTAAACATCTATTTTTAGTGTTCCGTAACCAAAGGCGTAAAATGGGGCTCTTTTTTGGGCACGGTTTTATTATTATAAGATTACTTTGATCTTCTGCATTACTTTCGGTTCGGTGTTAGTATTTGACGTTCACACGAGTTTGGAACAAGTGCACGTCAGTTTGTCTCTGATGAAACTTTGAGAGTTAGATTCGAAAAGTGAATTTTACGCCACGCGGAACTCGCAAACGATAGTGTTAGCCGTCTGCCGGTCTCACATATCGTATGCGAGTATTTACTCCGGGCGGGCGGGTAAGCCCGACGCGTTATACCAGCCGGGAGCATTGAAAACGCGCGTCAGCATACGCTCATACGCAACATTTAGACCAGAGCCGAAGCCGTCAAAAATGGTAAAAAAGTGAAGAAAAATAACAGTAGGACGTAACTCTTTGGAAAAGGAGGGGAATTTGTATCATACAAATGAAAGGAAGAACAGATAAAAAAAAACAATTAAAATTATTATTGTAATTGTCAATTTTCGAATTACGTTTCGATCTTTTATTTTCGGCAAGCGCTAACCGTAGTGCGTGATGTTTATCTTTTGCTCCTAGTTCCGTTTTTGAATTGGCACGAGAGTATGTTCCGTCCCTTAGAAAATCGGTGGTGACACACGGACAGATAGACGGACAAAATCTTATAAAGGTTCCTTTTTTTACATAATAATAATAATAATAACATTAAAATAAGAAAAACATTCCGCTCGGCATGTCATGTATGTTTTAATGGATATGAATAATAAACGAAAAAATAAATTCGATCAACTGGTAGTTTTAAGAAACAATAGCATAATTTCACAGTTTTATTTTCAACATATTTTTACAGTTCGTCACCCTAGATGTTTGCATTAACTTTATTCTACTTGTCCATTACTCTCCAATAGCTGCCAACATAAGCTTTTATATAACGGTTGAACCATTAAATTTGACTCATTATTAATGTTATGTCATAAAGTGATTATTTGCTACAATAATATGTTGTTTGTAACCACCACTACAGCTCCTCATTACCTCACCGACGTGCGGTACATTGCTCCAATGTTATTTCAATACGCAACTTGCCTCCGGCAAGCGTCCATACTTTATTCCATTCGTCGCTGGGATATGCGGACGTAATTATTTCACCCTCGTCATAATCACGCTACGTTAAAGAGGGCTGGCTGACTACAAAGTGATTTTGCACGTCCTGTTTTTCTTAAATTTTCATATTACATTTCATAATTAAACTATACCATGTAGATACATACTAGATAATATGTATCTACACGGTTTTTCGTATAATATAACAGCTACTTCTAGTTTTTTTTTTTTTAATGTGAAAAGTTGCCAAACGAGCAGACGGGTCAGCTGATGGTTAGTGAATACCGCTGCCCATGGACATCTGCTACACCCGAGGGTTACAGATGCGTTGACAACCTTTTGAAAATTGGGCTCCGGCTACCTCGCTCACCAGACGAAACGCAAAAGTATTTCTCATACTTCACTTTACGCTGGTTTTCTGTGAGGTCGTGGTAACTACCCGGACGGGCCTGCCCGTTCGTGCAACAGCCGATGCTGCTGCGTGGCCCTGCCACCGTATAATTTTGTCTGTGATGTGTGAATTTAGACCGCATCTGTAAATTCTTCATTAATCTGACAACATCTAAAGACCAATTCAATTTCCGTAGAGTTCAGCTCGACTCGAATAACATATTACAAAAACGATTCATGTCAATATATTATTCGAGGTATGCAAATTACATAAGAATTCCTGTCGTGACTGATATAATTTGCTACAACCTTAAAATATGGTTTTAAAGACATTTAAGCTATATGAATGCGGTGGTCTATAAAAGTATAATTTAAACAAAATTTATGAAGAAAACGTGTTAACTCTTATGGTTATAAACACGTCTATTATACTAGGAGTAACATAACAACATGTGAGCAAGCATTTGAATAACGAGAATTTACAGTCAAAGAGCCCAATATCCGGCGATTAATCACGATTAACCATAACACAATCACAAAATGACATAAGAAAAAAACTCATTCAACAGCTCATCTTATAATTTATGTCGCCCGCGGCACCAATAATCACACGCTGGAATAAACAAACTAATTCGACACCATCGGCCTTCATTATAAACGTCACCGTTGAAAAGGAAAATTGATTTATGGCGTTGCATTACGCCATTATTTTATGACGCGACAACGCTCCGAAATAAAATACTAACACAACCGTCGTCCACGACTATTACGTTGCTACCGCGTATCATTTGCCGTCGAAACGTCAGCTCCCGCTCTTACGACGTGAGAATAGAGTCTACAATCGCTCGATTTGCCGTTGCATCCGCGCCAACGGAAATTTGCAGGCGACCGTCATAAAGCGAATAAAATACGAGACACAAAGAATAAACGCTCGTAAGCGCTGTTACGTCTGTCAGCGTAAAATATTGCATCCTGCGCGGCCCGGCAGCCGCGGCTCAAATTGTGCCACCTCTATTGCCGCATTAATCTATGTCGGCCCGTGTGAAATTGGAGATGAGGAAATTGCAATACCCCCGTGGCCACTTATGAACGATGCGATAAGCTCACCGCCGCGAACGGAGGAAGACAAATGACGCGCAACATTTGTTGGGAGTTTTCAAATACGAGTTTGTTATAACCATTAAATAAATATCTTTTCATGTCTCAATAGCCACTAATTATTTTGTTGACGTATCTATTATTTCATTATTCTTTTGTTTAAACAAACCATCTCCTGCTCTAGAGTTCGATGTGAGTCAGATAAGGTACATTTTTGTGGGAAGGCCTTAATGACTTACTCCCGGTTTCTGAAACACTGATCATCTTAGAAATTAACTAATCAGCTGTCAAATGGATTGTCAAATGTCACTTGAGTTGAGTTTTGAATTGATCATTCTGATCATTAAGAATATCTTTTTGATCATTTCAGAGAGTTTAACCAACCCTTTGGCCTCAAATGTCTTTTGACAAACCATTTGACAGCTGATTACTTAATTTCTACGATGATCAGTGTTTCTAAAACCGAGCGTTAGAATGATAACCATTTGAGAGTAAAAGTAAAGTAATGTATCAGCCTATACATGTCCCACTACTGAGCTAAGGCCTCCTCTGTACAAAGGGTATCAGGGCATAGTCCACCACGCGGCCCCACTGTGAATTGGCGGATCTTCGAAATATATTTTTTTTTTTATTATTATTTCGTAAATATGCAGGTTTCCTCACGATGTTTTTCTGTCCTTCACCGCTGAGCACGTGATAATTCATCACTTGAAATTAACAATTTCATTGATGCCAGCACCGGGGATCGAACTATCCTAGGGTTGCTCGAGTATATTGAATTAAAGACGAGCGCCCGGACACTGAGCTCTTTCAGATTCTTTGAGATTACGTGGAGCAAATTCAAAGTCAAATTATTGTTTGCTTAATTAATGCACTTGTGTACACAAACCGATCAAACGTAGTATACGCAACAGACATGGCACGGTCATATTATTTTTATTATTATTGTCTTTAAACGATAAAACAGTATGACATCAAATATTAATAAACTTTTCAATAACCCTGATACTTTATATCCATTAAATTATATATGTATTAAATTAAAATGCACAAAATTATCTGGCGATACTTGGTCTTACTTTATATTCCTCAATAGTATTATAGCCATGAAAAGTTTATAGATTTTGTCGCGGTTTATTTCAATTTATACTGTCGGCGTTATCGACGGGCTGTGATGTTAGACGTCCTGGTGTCAGCCAGGCACCGTCAGCTTGAGAATTATTAATTTTATTCCTATCAAATACTAACTGCGCCTTGAAGTTTTGCAGTGTGGATAGCTCGCGTATTGATTTAATGTTATTAACAACAGGATCCTAAGACGGAGGTTAGAACCCAAGCATTTTCTCTTTTGATTAGCAATTTGGATGTTTTTTTTAATTTATACAGTCTCGGAAATTATCCTTGGTAGGTCTATCAAATGTGTTGTAACAAAATTGGAGTAATGATTAGGTTGATTAGTGCGTTCGATGATTGTAGACATGATCTGTTATATTCAAAGAGACATTATTCAAAATCAAGATTGTACACTATTGTATCTGGCCTGTTAAAGAAAGGGGAGTCCGCTTGTCTTTGATTTGTCTTTCATAAGGAAGAACAAATATATTCTCCCTTCGTGTATCTTGTATTAACTGATGTTTTTGCTTTCAGTCCCGAGACTATTAAAGCTTCACTTGACGCAGTATATGCTCCCTCTACTGGTGACTGCTTTCACTCAGTTACTCACGTACACTCGGCGCTGGCAGGTCGTTGTTGGGAAACTTGCTTCACATATTGCAGCTAAGTGGCCAGGTGTTTTTTGTCACATATCCCTTGTGCTCTCTACAACAATAATTTACCGACTGTAGCTAATTGGGTAGGGTGGTGGTGGGAGCTGTAGGCTTGTTCGGCTAATAGAAATGAAGTTTATTTATTTTTCAATAAAAAAAAAACTCTTTGGCTTTTACAGACATTTTAGTTACCTATAATCATTTATTTCGAGTACTAACGCAATAAGACTAAAAGAAAGAAAGAAAAGAATTTCATGTTGAAACTAGCAGTGCCTTTGCGCAAAGTTTTCATTTAACACTTTTTGATGGCGTGTGTGCATAAATAAATAAACAAATGAATAATAAATGAATGTGACTGCAATTCACGAGTATTATGCATTTTTATTGCTATTATAACTTAACATCGGTTCCACAGCATTTCACATTGTTCAACATACGTGTCCCCCGCTGACTACCACAAAGCACTACAATATAACATAATAATATATACATGCAAGTATGCGTATGTAAAATTGTAATTATTTGTATTTATGTTGAAGTATATTTAGTTTTGTGTCAATATTTTTTATGATTGACGTTCTTGTAGTTCTTGTATGTCATTTTAGCATTACTACCCGTAACTTGCTCTCAACCACCAAAGGTTAACTGGAATAAAATGCTATTTAGCATTAAGTTCGCCTTTGTACAAACTTTTAGCACAGTAAAGAATATACAAACAAACAAAACACGATCCTAAGCCACCTGCATCCATCGAATATAATAATAGCGCTATAATTATATTCACTATTGTCAAATTGGTAAGGTCATAGTGGTAAAATCATCAGCTTCTATTTTTGCACCAATGTAGATCGTTCAGGGAAGTATCGAAGTTTGCTATTAAAATTAGAATATCGTAAAGGCTTTCAACTGTGTTGTAGAAGACAACTCCACATGTTGAAGATGTGAGGGTGACGGTAATCACTTAAAATTAGCTGCTTCAACTGAATACTTCCCGCTTTTTATCTTAGCCAAAAAAAAACTAAACATAAGTTTATTCAGTATATACGTGTGCATAAATATTTCTAATGCAAGCACTGTCTTCAACATATTCAAGCAAATTCATCAAAATCAAAAGTCACATCAGTAGTTGAATAAGGCATGTGTAGTTACATACTTTAGTTGTCATATCTCACCATCATCGTCAACCTTAGCTTATCCGCTTTACCTAGGCCTCTCGTAATAAATGCCAAATTCGAGTTTTGCTCTCTAAGTATCCAGTTACTGCCATCGATATTACGCAAGTCGTCGCTTTTTTTTTTTATGTGAAAAGTTGCCAAGCGAGCAGATGGTTCACCTGATGTTTAGTGACGACCGCCGCCCATGGACATCTGCTACGCCCGATGGTTGCAGATGCATTGACAACTCTTTGGAAATTTGGCTCCGGCCACCTCACTCACTAGACGAAAGGCGAAAGTATTATACTTCCACTTTACGCCGGTCTTCTGTGAGGTCGTGGCACTTACCCGGACGAGCCAGCCCATTCGTGCAACAGCCGACACTGCCGGCCTTACTGCCTTCGCGAAACTCCTCAAGAGTCAGGCGGTCGTCGTGGTTCTTGTCCATTTGGTCGAAGATCTTGTCTACGCGCTTTTGAGGAGTGTTCTCGTCCTCCGGCTGCGGGGTTTGCCCCTGGAAATGAGATTTTCATCGTGATTAACATTATATAGATCTGTTAGAGAATTAGGTATACCTGTTTTGAGTTATATGTGTTGTTGAAGGTTTCTGGAGTTTATAAGAAGTTGTTATAGTATATGCAATAGTATATTTATAAAATAAAATTTCAATAAATGTTGGTATAATTTTTTTTTACTAACGTAATCGTTGCTACCTTTATACTTAGTAGTGTATCTTTTTTGTAAACTAATATAAAGGAAATAAGTAATACTTCAAATCTAGTTGCTACATTGCCCTACCACCGTTAAAACTTCACCTGCGCTGAGAAATTCCTACGCTAATGTATATGTAACTTAAATAAAATCTTTATTAAAACACACAAAAGGACTTTACCGCATTTGAATGGCATTTTCATAAAAAAGTAAACTCGAGTAGTTCAGTTTAAGTACCCACTAACACTAAACTAAACAAACACAACCCGCAGATGGTAAGACCTTAAGAGAGCGCTTTAAGTTAGACAAACTGAGGTGACGAGTTTTAATCAGCTCTGCCGCCAAGCGTCCCATATCTCGCTTAAGTCCCGACGAAAACATTAGTCTTTGGAAGTTAATCCGGGAACAAACCGTCGGCCGCGTCGCTGACAGCTCCCTGTCAGGAGACGGGAGCGGCTGCATATTGTAGCTGAGAAGGCTTCATGACCGCTAAGTTTGTTTAGATTTACTTGTGCAGATCAAAAACATATTTTTTTTGATAATCAGGTTTCATTTTTGATACAATACATGGCGTGACCCCTGGCGCCATATACATGATGCCTATATCCAGTTATGGTGCTAGTCTGCAGTATTCTTTGGAATTCTCCAGGAACTTATTGGTACATACTGAGTCCTCACACCAATTTCTAGACAACTTCAATACCCAGATTGAGTACATGACTGTCATCGTTTGATGAATTGATTGAGTTTGAACGTACTTATTAATACGATTTTAAATTAGCTTTTGAGACAGCAGTTTCAATTGCCAGAGAATAATGAGAAAATAATTATGTTCAATAATTGGAGGAGGATAATTAAATTTTACATAGTTTTTAAGTTTTCTTAGTTCAATGTTCGGGCGTACACAAAGGCAACCGGAGCTCAGGACTGATTCTTATTTGAAGTTATAAGTACAAGTTAACCGCGAGTTCGGCGGTGAAGGAAAACATTGTGAGGTAACCTATATATCCAGCAATAAAATAAACATCCGCAAGTTGGGCGCACGGCAGACTGCACTATTACCCGCTATCGAGATAACGCTTTTGCCCCCCCACGACAGACTAAATGTAATAAAAAGTTAGCTTTTTTAACTTTCCATATATTATTTTCCCTTTAAACAAATAACAACGACATGTTTCTCTTGAAAGCTAGAACATAAAATCTACAGGTGCCTATCCCATCACTGTAATGTGAGATCTAAAAATTATTTATTGTTCATTTTGTCATTGTAAGGACATCAGATACGACTAAGTAATACAATAAAATTGTTATTAAGTGTAAAACACGTCATATACAAGTAAGTACAACAATCACATTATTATTAAGTGAAAAAAAAAATGTACCACAACTCGCGAAATTAAATAAACGACGAGGTAATTGCAATCAAGTCGAACAATATCGCAATTATTTTTAATTGCGACATTGTCGCTTCGCAAATGTCGCGACGGAGCTTGACATTTTCCCTTCGGCTCGACAAAGGCGTTTGGGCTCTTAATTACATTTTTTTAAGTGGGACAAACGCCACGGATCGTATCGCTCGGACCGCTTTTATTTATTCGACTGTTAGTATCCAAACAAAGGTTTCGCGCGTTAATTTGCCGGAATTATATCGCAATCAGTAGTAATTTAGCGCCATTGTCTCGGCGGCCAATGGGCGATTGTCGAGGAACGACAGACGTGGAGGCCTTTATTTTAATTTTTTGCGCTGAGCACGCGATAAGAAAGTCATTAGTCTCTTTCAAATAATACGCATTGTAACTTACGATCTGTCTAAGCCGTTTTTGTGGTAATGACGAAATAACACATGCCGATGACAAACGGTATCCTCGAACGTTAACTTTTATTTATTTGAGTTTCTTCAATTTATTCAATGACCATTTTAGAAATTAAGAAATACAGTTAAAAGTCGATATGTTACGAACCTAACGCAAATCATTACAGTGGCCAAATGAAGCTGAAAGAACTCACACTCACAAAGATGTTTTTTTTGTAAATTTGTAACAAACAACTAATCTTAACTTTTCCCATCTTAAAAACGTAACTCAACTACTACTTTCATTGTGTTTAACATTATAGAATACATTATCGATCAATTCGATAAACGAAAATTTGATAAAAAGAAGTCAAACGGTAAAGTAAAAAAATGTTCTGACTTTTGAACGCAATCGTGTCAGCTTTGCTGTCCAAAGTACGAATTGTGGTCGTGACAGTAATAAAATGTTCTTCCCTTCTCAAATGTATGTCTCATTTACGAAACATTACGATGTTTATTATTCAAATAGTTCAATGATAAATAGAGGCAAAATCTGCTGGCAAAGGCATCTTCTTTCTAGTTTATGATGATTATAATTATATATTTTGGAGTAAATAAAAATATTTATTTGGAGTTGTTATTATATCCTAAGAGTATATTTAAAAATATTCTAGTAGTAACATAAGTTTAATTAACCAATTTTATCGGTAACATTCCAATTACTTTGAACGGAATTGAAACAGATGTATTGCGACATCCGTTTGACGATAATTACTGCCGTAGATTTCATGAATTATTCGCAACATAAAATAGTTTCATTTACTTTTGATAAATTACAGGAGCTTAGATGATTACCTTTTACATGAGTGGATCCTTCTAGTTCAAGAATACTGTGAGTTTTGACGGAGAGTCTGTAGAGCCTATAGTTTTAGGATTTAACATTCTAAACATACATTCTAAATCTATGGTATTAGTGAGACTTGTCTGGCGATGATTATTATCGATCTCCAAATCGATCGTCTTCTAGACACACTTCCACATATTTTATAGGGTACCAAGAAATTTTTTTTATGGAAAAAATGGGGCATACGGGCAGAAGGCTCACCTGATGGCAAGTGATCACCGCCGCCCATGGACATCTGCAACTCCGGAGGTTGCGAATGCGTTGCAGGCCTTTTATGAAAGGGTATGCTCTCTTTAAGGTTACCAGATCGTAACGGTAAGTCTACGTGGCATGACCAGAAAAATCATTAATGACAATGGAACGTGCACGGCGTGAATTATTAAGAAACTATTAAATTTACAAAGTGTAATTACATTTGCCTGGAACCTTCAGGCATGTGTTGGGGGCCGCGGATAATTAAAGTATCATTGTTAATACACGTTCAGGCGTTAAGTTGTAAGCTTTTAGCGAGCTCGATGACTTGCGTTATTATTGAGAAATATTAGTCTCCTCCCAAACTATAACATACATTGGCGCTGACTTGCAAGAGGCAACGGCTAATCTATTGCGTATTAGAAGCGCAAATAATGAAATTCTATAATGTATTATAAAATATTTGGGTATTTTTGAAGATACACATCTTTTAGCGCGTTTGGTAAGACTTATGAGTAAAATTTACGGCGCGCGCACACGGACCCTCTTAAAGTGGCAAACTCTCCATGCTTTACCGTGAAATATCATAAACCAAAAATAACTTCTTGAAATTTATGTATAAAACACCTACGATTATGTATATAATTCCAAGTTATTTAAATATACCGTTATCAATTACATTTAATGTCTTTTTCACAAACAAAGAGCACTGGCAGAGGGAATAAATATTTTTGTTACGCTATTCTTACTATTTCCAACGTATACTTTTTATAACTTCTTAAGTGCGTATATAAGTACACAGATACTTCTTTTTCTTGATACTTAACTTTATTTGACTTTTTAGATATGAAAAAAGAAGAATAAGCATGCTATTGGTGAATAGGTTTACAGCGGTAGGTTTCCGTTTTGTGCGATTTTATTTCAATATATTCTTATCCTAAGATAATAAACACTGTCAATGAAAAAATATATCAGTCAAAAAAAACGAATAGAATAATCGAAAACATCTACAAAGATTTCGTGTGCGGTTATCACTTGGACCACGCGACATTGTAGCCTTGTAATTTGTGCCCCTATCAATTCTGTCGCATGTCATTAAGTCTCACCTTTTATATTGCAGATAATAATCTACAAGTTATTAACGGCGACTGTCAATTGTCATGATTGAATATATCGGAAATGGGACGGCGAACATGAATGGCACAAGTTGTTGCTGTTTTTTTGAACAACGAAGCATTCGTTTGTTATTGATTATTATATTATTGAAAGTATATTTTTTGATATTTTATTTAGCGAGAGGCAAACGAATAAGCTTTTTCGATGCTAAGTGCCCACCGTTCATGGACATTTTCGACTCCATTGTCAAAAGAGACATTATTTCGGCCTTTGTAAATTCATTAGATAATGCAATTGAAAAATGTCAGATATAGCATAAAATATTGCGGCCAAGGAACGTACGTCATTTTATTCGTGTTTAAGAAAACTAGATATTTTTAGTAGTCCTTTTAATGTTAAACTTGATGATTACGTCCACCTTTTATAACGAAGACAATGACAACATAATATACTCGTATGTGTTTACAAAAAAGATACAAATTAATTAAATAGCAATTCAACGTAACGTGGTATCTTTTTGTATCATAAAAATGCTGTTACGATTTAAATGTAAGATTATTCGTTCGAACAGCAGTAAGCGGGGGTCGGAGCCTGTGTAAATAACGCATTAATAATTCCATTATATGTTAATAACGCGTTGTCGGGCGACGTAAAAATTCATGACACCTACTGACACATTGTCGCGGCGGCCGAACGCGTATACTCTCATTGTGGTTACACAATGGGCCGACTTTAATATTCCAAGGTGCGACGCAACTCTAGATCTGTATCGGAGGCGAAAAACGCATGCCTCAACGCATGCGACAAAAGTCTACGCTCCGTTTGTTTGCCACAGACGACCCCCATTAAATGGTGTTACGCCGTAAAAGGTGTACCTGGCGACTGGGCCGCGCAGACATAATTATCCCATACGCCCCAGGTAGGGAACATCGGGATTAACATGACAACCATCCAGTCGGCGGAACGTTGAGAGCATCCCTCTAATTCGAACCGCGGTTCTATGATGCCGCATGCATAATTCATCCGCTGATATGTTAATTCACCTCACCTTATGTTTATGCTAATCGTAATTGGTTATTTGGTTGCACAGATTACACAGAGCACCCCATTGATCTGCTGGAGGCATCATAGCGGGCCCGAGGGTTAGCCAGTGTAAGTCGTGATGTGTAATGCATTAACAATGTGAAAATTGTTGCTTCAATTAATGTCCGAAGCGTATGATTTAAAATGACAACATTCTGGGTGCATAACTAGAAAGAGAAGCAGGAATAAGTAAGAATGATCTCAGATGTGATCGGTTTGTTACTATTAATTTCGAAATTTACTTAGGTCATCTATTGATGTTGGTAGATAGAAGAATACATCATGTATTTGACGAATATGTTCTTAGAATGATGATGGGATACGTATCTTTTTTTTATTAGCAAAATATTACTCCCATGTCGAGGAATGGGCCTATATTTTCCGATGCAATGTTTCTAAAATATTATTATAAAATAATTTAACGTGCTCGTAAATATATGGTAAATATAGCGCTTCCGTAATTTCGGTGAAAGATTTTAATATTAATTAATTCCCTTAAATTATTAGTTATCATAAATTATAAATAAGTTTCTCATTCAGGGTACTTGTACTCTTCAGAGCCAATGCTTTAATCATTTTGCCTCTTTTCGAATACACCTGTCACATTTGAATGTAGTTCCACGTGCTGCGCATAGATGGCGCTAGTGGTAGCGTGAAAACAACTCGGCCGCACCGTAACTGTGTCAAAGTCGTGTCGCGTTATCGTAGTTAATTTTATAGATTTTATGATTTATTGCCATTATACGGGGCCAATAATAAAAACAGAGCCAGATCGTAAAGCGACCTGTTTATCAGCAGTTTAATACGCAATTTCCGTTATTTATGCGAAATCGGGTATAATTCGAAACACTAATATACGAGTAGCCTGTTGTTCTGACTCGACGTAATAAAATAAAACAACATATACTTAACTTGTTATTGAAAAACGATCCTGTATTCAGGCCTGTGGAGATTTTAATAACAATTTAATCGTTCGCAATGGTCGTAAATGCGGCGTTTTTTTATTTTTGCGAGATCGTTAATAACGTTCGCAAAAATAATGTGCTTCGTTTTATATTTCAACGTCACAAAGCCCCCGCTTTCGATTACTCCACCACCTGTCTTTCAGCCTTTTCGTGCGACCAATTATGCTTTTGACAGTTGAATTTTCGACATGACATGGGCCTAATCAAAATAGCATTTATTCAACAGTGAAAAAAGAGCTCGGTATTAACAGAGCTGACAGCTCACGGTTACGTTATTAACGACTCTCAACGTCGGTCTAGCTTGTGCACGCCTTTTTTCTTTGTCATTTTCAATGTGTGTACTTATTAAATTCTGTACCTCGGAGGCATACAATAAAACTTCACATTTTTCAAAATTATTTTACATACTTCATTAAAATCGCAAGAACAAAGACAATAGTATAATGTATGAAATCCAACAAAGGCTAATTAATAAAATATCCAATCGTATATGGTATTATAATCAATGATGCTAGAATGATTTACTCCACGCATTTTTGCCTCTCAATTTGCAAATTTGTGTTTTATCCCATAACTAGCGACCCGATGTTTGTTTTCGACATCGCATTAGAAAACTCTAAAATTATCAGCGTTTCTCTACTTTATTATGCATGAATTATACATATAAACCTTCCCCTTGAATCAGTCTATCTATTAAAGAAAACAGCTGCGTAGTTTTAAAGACCTAAGCATATATGGGGACTGACAGACAGCGGGACGACTTTGTTTTATTATGTAGTGATGGTGTTCACCTCTATGGTACAGAATTATTGCTCGCTTTCATATTGGATTTAGGTGGGCCGGTAGTGTGGTGTTCGCGTGATCGGGGCTCGGCTTAATCTCACTTCGTTATGATTGACGGCCTTAATGTGTTAGGTGCGAGATAATCAATCACTCTCAACAGATTGTAGCCTGAACACGGCCATCGTGCCTGAGGCGGTTAATAACTAATTTTTATGGTGCCGTCTTTCAATTGATATTTCCAGTGTGAATTAACTGTTAATTTATTGCTACCATCAAGATGCGAACAAAGAAAGGCGATGTTTAATCAAACGCACAACGGCCATAATGTGTATTATGTTACAAAAATTGTTAAGCCTTTTAATTCAAACAATTGAAATAGCAATTTTAAAAAAAGGCACTGCTCTTTGTTATAATTTACCTCGTATTTTTAGAACAAAGGATTGTTCGAGACGGGTAATTACTCGGTTTTAGTAAAATAATAAATATGTTAAGATTGGTATGTAGATATTATATTTGAAATAGTTTATTTATTATTAAACATAGATTTTTTTACACATAACATCATCAGCTGTACATAGTCTGCTATGAATCAAACTTCACCCGCGTCGCAATGATTCGGACCGTCGCTACGGCAACCGCTTACATAAATAAAACTAGTTTAGATTGCACTAATCACTAAGTTTTCCACGGCGGGACGCGCAGTGGAACACGAATTAGAGTCTATCGATATCACAGAAGAGAATTGGACATTACGACGTACTAGCATCGGTAACGTTCGGTCACTGCACTGCCTACTGGTGGACCGCGGCGGCGCCGAGCCTCTGCCCGTACATCGTGTACGGCGAGTAGAAGGGTCCGAGGGCGGGGTTGAAAGCGCCGTAGGGCGAGCCAGCCAAGCTGGCGGGCAGGCCCGCCTTCGAGTACGGGTGGTACCGGCTGGCTGAAAGCGGGCTCAGTGGCGCCGTGGGATACGCCCCGCGGAGACCCGCCGTCGTGAACAGCGGATTCAGGGGGCTCAGCATCGACGCCTGCGTCGAGGTCGCCGACACGGGCGTCGACCCGTCGGCGGTGTGACTCCTCAGGTGCTGCAGCAGCTCCTCCGAGTTGCCGAACCTCTTCCCGCAATAGGACTCCCCGACGATCCAGTTGCACACGTAGGGCCGGCTGAGCTGCGCGTAGGGGAGGCCTCCAGCCGCCCCCTGCTGGGAGAGCGCCATCGCCATCGCCAGGTTGTACTTCTGGTGTTCGCACTGTGTGCAGCCGGCGGGGCAGGACCCGTTGCTCATCAGTAAGTGGTGGTTGTTCACAGAGAACTGGCATCCGGTGCAGTAGGGGTCCTTGCAGACGGGGACCAACGTCTCGCCGCCGGCGGGCGTCTTGACCCGCGCGTATCCGAGGTACGGGTTCGGCGAGGAGCCGGGGAAAGCCGCGGCGGCTGCGAGCATGGCGGCGTGGTGGGCGCTGAACGGGGCGCCGGCGTAGGGCGGTCTGAAGGCGGGGTTCGCGTGCTGCTCCATCCCGGGCGGGCAACACAGCCCGGCAAGCGGGTTGAACCCGGGCAGCCCGGGGAGGTTCTTGAAGGCGCCCAGGTGGTCCTTCCCGTGCCCCAAGACCTCCAGCCCGGAGCGAATTATCGGGCTCGTGCCGGAGGAACCCGCCGGCGACGACTTCTGTTCATGCGACGGCGTGTGCTTTCCGTTGTCGGCCGACGGCGGAGTAGATTTTCGGCCGGGTGTGCTCTTCCCAGATTTCTTATCGTCGGAACTGTCTGTGCTGGACTTGGAGGACGGTCTCACTTCCTCTGGCTTCTTCGAGACGACGTTGGTCTCGTACGGCTTGAAGGCCAAGTGCTTGCTCTCGGGCGTGGAGCGTTTGTCCGGTTTGTTGGCGTTCGGCGAAGAACGACTAACTGCATCACTATTAACACTAGTCACTGGCTTCTTTTTGTCAAGCGGCGGCAAGAGAGGCTTGGCCGGCGGTGAGTCCGCGCCAATTTGACTGCAAGTTTGCGCCAAAAGCGCTAATGGGCTTTTCTTCGAATCCAACTGTAACAAAGAAAATAAATATTAACATCTAGGAATATTTTATTATTTTTTCCAAAAATATTTTTTTGAAATATTTTTTTTAATTTCGGATAATTTTTATATTTTTAATTTAAAAAATTATACTTACAGAGGACGGAAGCGGCGTTAAATAATCCGGTTGCAGGTATTGATTTGGATTAGTGGTCATCATTCCTCCGTCTTCCAACACGACCATTTGGAGGGAACTTTGACGATAGCACAAACTTCACAGCGGCGTTTCGCGGCGTTTCGGGCGGCTGAGACGTGCGTTCGCTACGACTGCTGGGAGGACTGTGGGGTAGGGAGCCCCTCCAGTGTACGGCCGCTCCGCCGCCCCACCCCGCTCCCCGCGCAAGCGAGACGACACCACTCCGAAACTTTGCCGGAGCGAGAGGGCCGCGGCTCTCCGCTGCAGCGCGCGGCCGTAAAAAACAAAGCGGAAACGACACATAGCTGCATTGCGGTAGGGGAAAAAGGAAAGGCATGGCGCGGATTGAGACGTGCGACGGCGTTGGCGGCGAGCCACCCATGACGGCCGCTCTGGGCCAGCGCCTACCTGCCCGCTCCGTTGCACTCTTATTACGCGCGGGCCGACACATTCGCGGCCGCTGTGTCTTTGGATTTTCGCTTTCAATATCTTCCTTCTAAGCATTGTGGGGTAATGTCGGTCCCGATGACTTTTGGATTCCTTCTTAGGATTGTAGTTAGAATTTTTGTCGGCTTATCTGTAACAGGCTCTGAAACTTAGCAATAAGTTTAATAAGTCATGCGCTACATATTAGCGAGTTTTGCGCTCACAGCTCATGCGCTACATAACACTATCAAAATTATAGTAATTAGTGTGCGTCTATATTTCTTCAAATCACGCGATAGTCGGAAAACAATTGATTTGATACACTATTGGGCAACCAATGTTAAAGAGCGTTTGAACTGTCTCCTTTCGGGAGACCACTTTGGTTCGGGTCGGGGGCAACAGAAAAGGTCCCAATTGACATCTTCGAGTCCATAACGCTAATGTTAATCCGACACTAAGACCTGTCAAACACGGGCCCGCTCCGGCGGACCCTCCGTGGCGATCAAATTAAATACGTCAATTCGGGGACCCGTATCAACAGCTGCGAGCGACGTCGGGGCCCTTTAGAAATATTGCTTATTGTGTCCAAACAAAGATACTAAGTATAACGTATGGGCGGACGACAGAGGTCGTAAATAACCCGCCGCGCCGTAATATATTTGACAGTGCGCGGACACGCGAAACGGGGGAAAAAAAAAACATGTTTATTGCGAGAGCCGGCTCTCGCAGGCCCCATGCACTCCTATAAATTAGGAGCGCAGTAGTTTCGCTGTTTGTTTAGGGGCCGAATGGGCGCCTCTCACTTTTTTAATATATTTCGTGAGCACGTTTTCAGAATGTGATTTTTGTAGGAAAAATGATTTGACATTCATGAAAATACCAATTTGACAGCGTTGTGAAGTCTTTTATGGTGTTTTGTTAATACAAGCCAGCTTATTTTGGCTTGTTGATTTTTATATCAATATCCGTACGGGGCTAATTATTGTATCAAAATGTTGTTCCGAACCTAATTGTATCTATGCGCAATGCTTGCAATTATCCTGACTCTACAATACGCCTATAATTCAGGAAGGATAATTTTCTACAAACACTACACAAAATGCAACATGTTTTTGTTTTTATTTTTCTATCTAATTATTTGGGTCTATAAGTCATAGAAAAAGTGTAGAGTTTTTGCTACGATTATGTAGAGTCTATCGATTGAATGTTATTTCGCTTATATACTATTCGCTATAGGTCTCGGGCCTATAGAAATGTTAATTTCCGTAACGTTAAACCTAAAATTGCTGCATAGAATAACGAGTCTACTTACATTGCATATGTATTTCCCTAACGTATATATAAATACGTAATCATTTTTAATGTAGGCACTACATTAGGTGTCCTAACAAGCTGCCAAATGGATCTTTGTCCAACTATGGACATTCTTACTTTAAATAAATGTGAACATAGAATTCAACCGATGTTCTACGACCAATGACACCCATGGCCATTTGAACCCATGGCTATTAAGGCTTAAAAGGTTAAGGCTTGGTTATCTAGGGAGCTTTTAACATTTAATTATAAAAAAGTTCAGAAATACACTGTAATTATATGCTTGCTCGTGTACCTCTCTATTTTTGTGCGACTAACTTCATTTATGTTTTGCGTTTAAAACAATACTATTTATTTAAGTAGGATATATTGTATATAAGATATTATATCACATATAATACAGGAGGGATTGATTCCCTACCTACAGAAATAACTGCGTTTGCGAAGAATTTAGATCATATTGATGGTGCTAATAACCTCGAGCTATTTTAAAATCATCAATTTTGCTTCTTTTAATTTTTTTTCTTAGATTGAATTTCAATCTCCAAATCGGTTTGGATTGCCCGGTTACATACATTATAAAAATGTCGCACATTTACATTCACTTCGATTATTTACAATGTACGTCTAATAAATTATACACAATTGTATTATAAATATAGATTATAGTAGATAATATCTGAAATAACTGTCATCATACACACATAATCGGAATAAATAAGTGGATTATTCAAGACGTCGTATCAATAATGATTTGTTGGCTTTCACAATACCACCTCTGATGATATCCTCAAGAGCGGGGCCACTGCGTTTTTGTCCGTATTGATTTTCCCGTTTGATAACGGCTCTTATCTTAATGGATTTACGACATTGTATTTATACAGTAATCCAAAAGGATTAGCCGCGTGTCGGAAATCGGCTAGATGTGAATAAAAATAGATGACCTTACCGCCTAATATGAGTACATTAAATGGTTCACTTCAAGTTTATATACAGCATTTTTTAATGATATTTTTATGAGGCTTTTGTGCTGACTTCAGCTAGGAGTAAAACTCGTTTGCACTTGTTACTGATAGACCTATTATGAGTCTTTTGGTTTAACAAAAAGGATTGTTTTAGTCGTCTAATTGAAGACCATTCAAATTATATGTTCGGGTCCATTCTTATTCTCCTCATGAAAGTTATCATTGAGATGGGTGTAATTCAATAAGCCGTGGGTGTTAGATAGTTTTACTACGCACTCATAAAACCATATAACGCGCTTATGTGCGTGTGGAAATTGCAAAGAAATTACTTAAGATGATTAAATAAAAGAGATAAGATATAACGGGCGACATAAAATTTAGGGTATTTACCAAGTAATCTGGATTACGAGGAATTGGAATGCATGAATAGTCAACGGCGGATTGGCCGGTAACTTCGACTACCCGAGTTCTCGCCTTTCAATGAATTATTGTTTCGTTTTCGGATCTCGAATTTCTAGTAAGTAGAAACCATCTTCTTACAATCTTCACCTATGTATAAATTTGACAGATTTGACTTATTTTGCAATAAATAATTATTTATAGGATAATAATTTCGATTTGTATTGTAATTATATTGATGTTTTGTTTCATTTTAAATAAATCTAAATCGAAAACTTACATATGTATGGTATGTTTGTAACATATTATGTAAGTTATGTATTTAGTGTTTTTTTAAGTGTGCAATAGCTCTTATATCTGGTCATTAAAGTTGTAATTATTAAGCGAAAGATAACACTTATTTAGTATAAATTATTGGAATTAAATAGCTCGCTTATTTAAGTATATCAACGTTTGTTTAAAACTTTGATAAACATGTAATTGAATACGAGAGTTGAATTTGACATTGGGTGACTTTATCTATCACGTAAGTAATAAAATACGTGAATTTTAGTTCAGAAATCGCTTGTTATAGTTGATAGAGAAACACATTGGAGCTTACGATTATTAATTTGAAGATTTCTCCAAATTATGGGCTTTGTTTTTTATTATTTTATTATGAAATAAACGATTTCGGGTCCATCATCAAAACGATGATGGAGCCGAAAACATTTATTTCGCAATATAGAGTTTTTACGCCCACGCAAAGTTTAACAAATAATCATCGCGTGACTGCAACAGACCGATTATCTTATTATAACGTTGGCTATAATCGCAACGTATATCATTTCCGACGTGCGAATTTCAATTCGTAATAACAGTGGACGAGGGCACGAGTCTGCGACGGCTCGTTTGTATAAGCATTTTGTGTGGAAGGACTTCTGTAGTAAGTCCCAAACAGTGCGACCTAGAAAGATCTATTTTAGTCTTCCCTCTAGAACATTGCCCCACTGTAGGATGACACTATCCTGTGTTGTAAGGATGTGTCACACACATAAATTTCACATTGACACACACCAAGATTCGAAACTATTATCTGTGGGTCACGCAAATAGTCGTCTCACACCCACGTGTGGGAATCGAACCCACGACCCCCGACGTAGAAGCCAATACCAAGGCAGTTGCCACTGAGTCATCGAGTTCCCTTGTAGCGTATCGAAGCGTATTCGGCGATTCGACCGCTAAGCCGCCGCGCCAGTCTGCGCTCGGCTCACGAAATGGCAGCCCCCAACCAATTATACGTCAATAAAGAAATCTATTCGCGTGTAAACAGCCGCGTCAAGCGGGCAGCGGGGAGGGGGTGCGGATAGAGCCGGCTTTGTGCGCGGCGGATGCGGCGAGATCAAAGCGGCCGGTGCCGATACCGAATTGCTGTTTACGGAATGGTAAAAAACCGTGACGGGCCTCGTTGTGTGGCGCTCGACTGAGGGCGGCGAGACTCCAATTTGCTCTCGTACTTACAAGCCCCGAGTAGCTTCGCCTCGTTTATAACTTGTAACGTAGTTATTCACGTGTCTACAATATGTTTGTCTCGGTAATTTTATTAACTTGTTTGGGTGGTGATAGTTTCTCGTATTTACGCGATTGCACATAACTAATTTAAACTGATTTAATGGATTTATCGTGTTCATTTTTTACTTGATTCACCGACGTTTCGAACCCATTTCTGTCTGAATGTCATGGCTAATCCGAGCCAGGGTTAAAAATTTCGGGAAATAAATTTAAACCTAAACGCGTTAATTATGTAAAATTAGTATCATTTAATACTTTGTGTGGTTTTATTAACTAGTTTTTCGTGTTTAAAAGTCTAGGTTAGTATATATAAAATAATTAGGACACATTTTTACACTACTCTAGTCCCAAACTAAGCAACGCTTGTACTATGGGTACAAGATAAAATAAACATACTTAAACATACTTTTCTTTTGTAAATAAATACATATTATATGCATATACAAACACCCAGACACTAGAAAAACACTGTTCATCACACAATATTTTTCCAGTTAATCTGGGAATCGAACCCACACCCTCTGACGCAGAAGGCAAGTACACTACCCACTACGCCATTCGGGTCGTCCACTAACAATTAACATTGTACATAGTAGTCTAGTCTCGTAAAGAATGAACAGATAAAGCACGTCGTTTTTAACATTAAAAGCATACTTAATAATCACCCACTACCATCAGATAGGAGACATGCCCTAGCTAGTCCATAATTAAAAGCAGGTACCCTCAGGGTTAACTTTTATCGATACTTACTGCTTAGCAAATTCCTTTTTATTTATCCCCTTTATCTTTCGGCCCGGCTTTAGCTTAAACTTCTAATAGATAAGGTTTTACAGGGCCAATAAATATTGC